GGATGGTCGCGAACGAGCTCGTGGACCGTCTCAAGCTGCTCTACGATACCGACGATCTGCTCGAGATGCAGTACGCGGATCCGCTGCCATTAGCCGACTTTTTCGGCGCCATCGACGAGCACTTTCATGCGATAGCGCTTCTTGACGCGTGGGTGTGACAAGGGATTGTAGCTGCGGAAAGCCGTGGCCGAGCTCAAGGCCGACATCAACGACCGCGCGCACGAGTTTCGCGTGATCCAAAAGCGCCTACGCCCTAACCCCAACCCTAACCCTAGCTCCTCGTGCGGCACAAGGACCGCAGAAGCGCCTACTCGTGCGGTACAAGGACCGCAACCCAGCGCCGCTGAGTGCGCTCGACGTTCTCATGCATGGGACGTACGCGCAGTTGCTGGATCTGGAACGCAGGTGTGCATCTATGTTTGACCCAATGGCTTGAACTAGCCAATCTCTCTTGAGATTGATGGGGACCAACGCGATGGAGCGTGATGCAGCTACGTCAAACTTTATGACTAGTTGCTAGAACTGATCGGACGAGTATTGATAGGGTCAACAACCACATGCATTCAAGATTTGACGTTTACGACGACTGCGCGTCTTGCGATTGGGGCTTCGGCAGCAAAGTGAGCGGAAATGCCATCTGCTCGAGCGCTCGTGCGAGGCGCAGAGGCAGGGGGACGCGCCCGGCTTGAAGGTTGTAAAACTCACGACCAATGGCGTAGCCGTGCAATTCTGCCGGCCACTTCGGCGAGTTGGGCACGACAAAGCTGAACGGGACGTCCGTCGAGTCCATGAGAATCTGGTAGTAAGCGAGACACCGGATGCAGCGGTTGACGTCGAGAGTTGCAGCGGGGCGCGGAACCGAAGCCAGCTTCCCGATGCGCGTTTCCCACAACGCGCTGTCCTGTGGGATATAAAATCTGTCCGGGAAGGTTTCGCGCTCGGCCTCGCGACGTTCGAGGGCGATCTTCATGCGCTCCGTGACCTTGGGACTGCCGAAATGAAGCTTGAACGGCAGTCGAAAGTCATTCAGCTGCCGCTTCATGAGTTGCATGATGGCGGCCCGCTCAGGGTTCTTGTCGATTTCCTGTCGATCTTCGTACGTGAGGTAGCAGTAGTCGTTGTCGTCCCGGTGAAAGCGGGAGGCGATCTCCTCGACTGGATGGGTGTGAAACTTCGATTCATTACAGTTTAGCTTACGTGCGAGCACGGGAATCTTTCCCGGAAACCATGGCTTCATGAGCGCAAGGAAGGCTTCCTCGGGTGCCAGGTCCATCGGCGTCGTGCTTCTTGCAGCGCAACAACGAGTTTGCTCCCGCGTCGGTTGAAACCTGCGGGGATACAAAAAGCAAGTACCAAAAACCGCCCTGCATTCGATAATCTATTCTATATATAGTGCCGTGGTACATAGAGCGTCGTCCGACACGGCCCGCGCACGAGACGACGCGGCTTGCTTTCATCGCTACGACTGTACCGTAGTACTTTGTTTCAGGTCCGAATTGATGGGACTCCACTGCGGCCCTACCTCTCTCGTTGGAGGCCGCGGATTGGAGCTTCGCGTGCGTCTTCTTCGCTGTGGAACGCAGCTCACGACGCGGGCTCGTCGAACGCGGCTCGTCGCGGCAGCGCAAAAGCCGTTGTGCGTGCTCTCGCGATTTTAGAGGTAGTATCCGGATAATGCTCGTAAGATCGCTCGGATACCGGTAACCTACCGGGTATGCATTATGGCAGGTATCGGCGTGAGCACGTGTCGTTCACTCGCCAGTCTGAAGCGATCCATGGAATCCATCGGTCGCAGTGCTTCAGATTTGCCCGTGGCTTCAAGCTCATGTGCTTCAGCTTCAAGCTCAGACGATTGCAGGCTCTGGATCGGTCCCACATGCTGGATTGCGACCTGCATTCTCGTCGATATCTACTCGGCGGCGCTAAGCTGAGATTTGGATATCCGGGAATTCATCAAGCGCAATGCTTCGCGGGTGCTCGAGAAGGCGTCGACGCCGCTAGCCTCGGCGCGCTCGAGTGGCGGCGCCTGCTCCCACGCCGCTGCCAGATCGGCCCACTAAAAGTCGTGGCTATGAAAGCTGCCAGCAGGCTGCATGCTGCGCAATCATCTGTTCACTGTGGCGTATGCCACATCCTGCCATAAATTGTGGCGCGTGCCACAATTACCATCCCGGATCGTTTCCGATGGCCGCCAAGTGTCGGGTGCTGCTGCTGTCGGACGCCGACAAGGCGGTCCGTGACGCCAAGCTCACGCGCTTCGTGCGCAACGCCCACGCGTCGCCCGTGCTCACCTTCATGCGCTGGCGCCAGGGCAAGAGCCCGCGCATGGTCGCTAA